GCAGCAATGGTCAGAGATTGAATAGCTCCAGTACTTGAGTACCCTTCTCTCGAAGGTGAAGGGTATAAAAATACCAAATAAGTTAATCGAATTTAAATTTCTTTTGGAAAGTTGGACTTCGCTAAAGGCCTTATTAGTAATACGTTTGGACAAACAAGTATTTCGGTGCAAGAATGTTCATATCTTTTAATACAAATTCGGTACAAATAATTCAAATATTTGTACCGATTTATATAAAAGTTTTTGTTGGGTACGACGGTTTTTCAAACTGCAGGCAAATATATGAGAGGAAATGTCGCTCAGATTTGGATTCAATTCTGCTCAAACTATTAGATAAATACAGTCTGGTCTCAGAGTTATAAATTTAATTTATTGTATTGCCTTAATAAGAAACTTTAGCGTGTGCAATATTTCAATCACGTATTTATATATAACAATCTTCTCTTTGGAAAACATTACTTTAAAGCACTGACAAAACATACGTGTATTTTTCAAGCCATACTTTATGAATTATTTATTAAAATTAAGCCTATAAAAGAAGAACTTCTATTTTCTTTTTGTTTTTAGTTTTAATACTTTTTTTATTTTAGATACAAAAATTCATTCAAACGTACGCATAAACATAAAATTTCATATCTTTTTGCAAAAAAAAAAATTAACAACCAACAACACACAAAAACATCTAATAATAACTATAAAGACTTTGTTGTATGTGAATGAACTCATTTTGAAGATTCTTTTGTTTGAGACTCGTTGTCATTTCAAATCTTATAAATGTTTTCATGATTTCAGCAGTTATATGCTTATTTTGGGGATTGTTTTTATACTTTTCGTTTTATTTTTTTGATTGCGGCAAACGTTTTATGTGGGGGTTTTGGTTGTTGTTACAGTTGTTATTTCACGTTGCTATTGTTGTTATCATTTTTATTTTATAATATTCTAAAGAGTGATTCATATTTATGGCCTAAAACAAACTAATCATAATCTGAAAGTGTTGCTGTCTTCTTTAGAGTTATTTCAGTTTTGTTACAAGTTGTATGATTTTATTGAAATTTTATGCACAACAATATTCGTATAAAGTTTTATTTTCAGAGTCTAATGGAGATTTCTTTTAAGAATGAGTGAAGAAATTTTGGTTTTGATATTTTTATCTTAAATCTTTAAGATGTTGTTAACATTGTATTTATTTACGTTTATTGAGGTTTATAGCGTGTTTTTAAATGATTACAAATTTTTAATGGTTTTATAAGATGTTTTTTTTTTAGAAAACGAAATAAATTGTTTTTGTGACGATTTAATAACAAGTAGAGTAACCTATTAAATTTTGTAATGAATTCTTAAAGATTTTAAATAGGTCAATTATGTATCTGTACCGCAATTCAGTAACTTTTTAACTACAAAATTTTGTCGTAAATAGTATAAATTCGTAAGTTAACAATAATTGTCGTTATGTGGTATTCTGAATTTTATTTCACCGATTTTTTTCGTTAAACAAAATCATTAGTTAACGAAAAGTATCGGCAATGTAAAGACAAATAAAAAGTTCACGTTAATAATTTTATATTTTAAAAATATTTCAATACAAAACTTTTGACATTCTCATATTTTTCCGACGTTTGTCGTTAAAATATTCTAAGTTCGTTAAAAAGTTACAGAATTGAAAATTCGTTAATGCAACCGATATTTGTCGTTACTTTACGATATCGGTAGTTAAAATTAAAAAAAATACAGAATTGCGGTACTGGTGCTTATGATATTAAAATATTTTTAATTTACAAAAAATACATAAAAAATAAAAAAAAAAAAAAAAAGTGTATGTATTTATATTTTCAAATTTCATTTCCAATACTTAGTTATTCAGTTCCTCCTCTGTTATCTTTTTAGGCAACAGCACCGTACATTTCCCGAAATATAGATTTCACCGAGTATCAGTCTTTTAACAACATTCTCTTCCCTCGAGTTTGAGTTTAAGCCACAGCCACCACAGCCAAAATAAAGTCTAAAACTCTGCCCTGTGGGCAACCGCTTTCCGTGGTGCAAGATTATATGGTTCTCTCTTTCGATCCAGGTCAAATCATTCCAAGGACGGCCGAAGACACATTTGACACCAGCATCTCTTTTCCCCGAATTGCATACCCCGTTAGTTAGTTAGTTAGTTAGTTAGTTAGTTAGGTAGTTAGTTAGTTAGTTAGTTAGTTAGTTTAGTTAGTTAGTTAGTTAGTTAGTTAGTTAGTTGTTAGTTAGTTAGTTAGTTAGTTGTTAGTTAGTTAGTTAGTTAGTTAGTTAGTTCGTTAGTTAGTTCGTTAGTTAGTTCGTTCGTTACGTTCGTTCGTTTAGTTATTCGTTTTCGTTCGTTCGTTCGTTAGTTCTTCGTTTCGTTGTTAGTTCGTTCGTTCGTTAGTTCGTTTTCGTTCGTTCGTTCGTTCGTTCGTTCGTTCGTTCGTTCGTTCGTTCGTTCGTTCGTTCGTTTCGTTCGTTCGTTCGTTCGTTCGTTCGTTCGTTCGTTCGTTCGTTTCGTTCGTTCGTTCGTCGTTTCGTTCGTTCGTTCGTTCGTTCGTTTCGTTCGTTCGTTCGTTCGTTCGTTCGTTCGTTCGTGTTCGTTCGTTCGTTCGTTCGTTCGTTCGTTCGTTCGTTCGTTCGTTCGTTCGTTCGTTCGTTCGTTCGTTCGTTCGTTCGTTCGTTTCGCTCGTTCGTTCGTTCGTTCGTTCGTTTCGTTCGTTCGTTCGTTCGTTCGTTCGTTCTTTGTTCGTTCGTTCGTTCGTTCGTTTCGTTTTCGTTTTCGTTCGTTTTTCGTTCGTTCGGTCGTTCGTTCGTTCGTTCGTTCGTCGTTCTTTCGTTCTTCGTTTTTCGTTCGTTCGTTCGTTTCGTTCGTTCTTCGTTCGTTCGTTCGTTCGTGTTCGTTCGTCGTTTTCGTTCGTTCGTTCTTCGTTCGTTCGTTCTTTCGTTCGTTCGTTCGTTTTTCGTTCGTTAGTTCGTTCGTTCGTTCGTTTCGTTCGTTCGTTCGTTTCGTTTCGTTCGTTCGTTCGTTCGTTCGTTCGTTTTTCGTTCGTTCGTTTCGTTCGTTTCGTTCGTTTCGTTCGTTCGTTCGTTCGTTCGTTCGTTCGTTCGTTTCGTTCGTTCGTTCGTTCGTTGTTCGTTCGTTCGTTCGTTCTTCGTTCGTTCGTTCGTTCGTTCGTTCGTTCGTTCGTTCTTCGTCGTTCGTTCGTTCGTTCGTTGTTCGTTCGTTCGTTCGTTTCGTTCGTTCGTTCGTTCGTTCGTTCGTTCTTCGTTCGTCGTTCGTTCGTTTCGTTCGTTCGTTCGTTCGTTCGTTCGTTCGTTCGTTCGTTCGTTCGTTCGTTCGTTTCGTTCGTTCGTTCGTTCGTTGTTCGTTCGTTCGTCGTTCGTTCGTTCGTTCGTTCGTTCGTTCGTTCGTTCGTTCGTTCGTATTCGTTCGTTCGTTCGTTCGTTCGTTCGTTCTTCGTTCGTTCGTTCGTTCGTTCGTTCGTTCGTTCGTTCGTTCGTTCGTTCGTTCGTTCGTTCGTTCGTTCGTTCGTTCGTTCGTTCGTTCGTTCGTTCGTTCGTTCGTTCGTTCGTTCCGTTCTTCGTTCGTCGTTTCGTTCGTTCGTTCGTTCGTTCGTTCGTTCGTTCGTTCGTTCGTTCGTTCGTTACGTTCGTTAGTTCGTTCGTTCGTTCGTTCTTCGTTCGTTCGTTCGTTCTTCTTTCGTTTCGTTCGTTCGTTCGTTCGTTCGTTCGTTCGTTCGTTCTTTCTTCGTTTGTTCGTTCGTTCGTCGTTCGTTCGTTCGTTCGTTCGTTCGTTCGTTCGTTCGTTCGTTCGTTCGTTCGTTCGTTCGTTCGTTCGTTCGTTCGTTCGTTCGTTCGTTTCGTTCGTTCGTTAGTTCGTTCGTTCGTTCGTTCGTTCTTTTCGTTCGTTCGTTCGTTGTTCGTTCGTTCGTTCGTTCGTTGTTCGTTCGTTCGTTCGTTCGTTCGTTTCGTTCGTTCGTTCGTTCTTTGTTCGTTCGTTCGTTCGTTCTTCGTTCGTTCGTTCGTTTCGTTCGTTCGTTCGTTCGTTCGTTCGTTTTAGTTCGTTCGTTCGTTCGTTCGTTCGTTCGTTCGTTCGTTCGTTCGTTCGTTTCGTTTCGTTCGTTCGTTCGTTCGTTCGTTCGTTCGTTCGTTCGTTCGTTCGTTGTTCGTTCGTTTTCGTTCGTTCGTCGTTCGTTCGTTCGTTCGTTCTTCGTTCGTTCTTCGTTCGTTCGTTCGTTCGTTTCGTTCGTTCGTTCGTTCGTTCGTTCGTTCGTTCGTTTCGTTTCGTTCGTTCGTTCGTTCGTTCGTTCGTTCTTTCGTTCGTTCGTTCGTTCGTTCGTTCGTTCGTTCGTTTCGTTCGTTCGTTCGTTCGTTCGTCGTTCGTTCGTTCGTTCGTTCGTTAGTTCGTTCGTTCGTTCGTTCGTTCGTTCGTTCGTTCGTTCGTTTGTTCGTTCGTTCGTTCGTTCGTTCGTTCGTTCGTTTCGTTCGTCGTTCGTTCGTTCGTTTTCGTTCGTTCGTTTCGTTTCGTTTCGTTCTTCGTTCGTTTCGTTCGTTTTCTTCGTTTCTTTCTTCTTTCGTTTTCGTTCTTTCTTCTTTCGTTTCTTTTCTTTCGTTCGTTCGTTCGTTCGTTCTTTCTTAGATGTATAAATCAAATACGAAGAATCCCCTAAGGCCTCTATCGGGCCGTTGTGCACTCTTAACCAGTGCCTCAGGTGGGAATCGAACCCACTACCTCCGGTCTACCACACTAGAACACTAACCAGTAACCAGAGGCCACAACTCATGAATTAATAATGATATCGAATACAATTCTGCATTAATATATTTTGTAGATATGCACATCATTCTGCAAAACTTTAAAATTTTTCGAATTACTTTCCATTTAAATAAAAGTTTGTAACAAAAAATTTCTTGTTCTAAATATATTATAAATTAAATAGACTTTATTTATTTCTTTATATTTTTTCTATAATTTGTTTCTATTTAAAAAGAAGAAATAATCAATTTCCTTGCAGTTTGGCATCTTGTTCCTTGGCATATTGCAAATAAACATCATAAGCAGGATTACGGGGAGTTCTTTCAGCTGAAAAACAAACAACAAAGAAATAAATAATTTTCCAACAATAACAACAACTAACAACATACTTTATAAACATTATAACCATTTGTATCGGCACGATAATAAGTTGTCTGATATGATTCTCTTGTACCCGCCATCGAGGGTACAGTATAATAACCCTGTTGTACTGGCCTCCAAACACCTTTCACCAAGACATGATCTATGCGTTGATAATTGACCATGCCATTACTTAACACTAACCTGTAAACAAAACAAAAAAACAAATACATTCCAATAGACAATCAATCAATTTTACCCCTAGTCTGTCAGTGGGATGTTTTAAAATCTTTTTCTAAACTCTTACTTATATTCCTCACTACCATTGCCATATTTATGATGATAATTTTCCAATACAATTACTTCGTCTGTTGGTTTGCTGGCCTCTGGTTCACCCGTAATTATTGGCCACAAATCACTAGTGGGATCATAAACAACATCAAGGTCTTCATCATCATCGGCAAAATTATCAGTGATTATTCCATTATCATCATTATCATCATCATTTTGTGTATAGTCGTCCATGTCAGGCATAACAACCACTGGCTGTTCTATTAACGTGTGCAGGGGAATTTCATTGTTTGGTGGCATAACCGCTTCAATAATATCATCAACATCTGTTGGCCAAACGGCCAATTGTAATTCGTAGAGTGGTTGTGTCTTGTCAACATTCATGATGGGTGCCTGCGAATAGAAAACAATAGAAGAAACATTTAGTTAATACACTAGCTAGTGTTTGGGTGGGGGGAAAAGTTGATTTCGGATTTGCAAATAAAATCAAAACAATAGTTTTTTTTTTATAGATTTTGCAGCTTTGTAGAATTTAGACATTGGAGGTAAGTATTTACCACGCTGGCTTACAAATAGGGGGTTAAGTAAGTAGTTTTGTCTCTGAGAAAGTACGTCCACTGCGTCTATTATTAGTTTTCTCAAAAAATGAAAATTTTTTCTTTTGTGATAAAAACAGAGTTCGAGAACCATATGCCATAAGGCTTAAAGTAAGTACTTACATAATATATTATTTGTAAGTTATTACTAGACCTATTCTAAGTAATGCAGATGGTAAGTAGTAGTCATTGAAAGTTTCTGTTTCACTTTAAAAGTCACTAGTTACTTCACTGGTCATTTTAAACTCAAATTGTAATCACTAGTATTAGGTAATTAGTTAAATTGAAACAAGGATGTATGTTACATCAGATACGAAGAAATACAACTCGACCACTATAAGACGTTTTGAGCTTTTCTTTTAAATATTTTTGTCTCTAGTGGCAATCGAACCCACGATCTTTGTATTGACAGACTAGACCACTACTAACTAACATACAAAGGCACACAATCACTAGGAGTATTTTCTTTATTCAAAATGAAATCACTTTTTCCCTAAACCACAACTTTATAGATTTGTTTACTTAAATCCATATAATTTTGATTGATATTTGTAGAAAAGAAAAAAAAAACAATATTCTTCTTAAACACACTCTATGGTCTTAAGCCAAAAACTATTCAACAAATCTAAATGTTCACTCATTCGTTCAGTCAATCATACCTTAGTTGTTGGTTTAGCTAAAACTGTTGTAACATCTTGTAAAACCATTATCAGCATTAGAGATTTGAAAACTAAACTTTTCATATTGCTGCTGCTACTGGCTGCTGCTATCCGCTTACCCTGCTGTCACTCTATTGCTACTGTTAACGTTGATGCTAAAGTAATTTGTCTGTTAAGATTGGGTTAGGAGGTGTTGTGTGGGTTGAAAAAGTTTTTGAACCGTGTGTTGTTTGTTTGTTTGTGCTTTCGTATTTATTATGGATTCTTGATTCCTGAGTTGTTTGTGGCCCCGTGCTGAGTGTGTTTGATGTGATGTGTTGTATGCAAATGTTGAAAACTTTTTGCAGAAAGTCCATAGTTTATGGCTGTGCAGGTATTTATATTGCCTTTTGACTACAGCAAATATTGGCCCAATATGGTTGCTGTTGCTTTTGATTTTGCTGCTGCTGTCGTTTGCTGTTTTGATATTTTTTTCTTTACAACTGTTGTTGTTGTTGTTGCTGTTACATTTTGTAGCTGCTGTTTTTGTTGTCGCAAATAACTTTTTCTGTTTTTCTTGGGATTTTTTTCCTTGTTTTTTTCTCAATATTTTTTCGTGTTTGTTTATCAAATCTTAAAAGCTTTGTTAGCACTTGCCAGCCATATATAAGTAGACATTTCGTTCTTACCATATTTTTCTGTTTTCGTAGGCAGTTTGTTATAAAATGAATTTTAAATCTTTTTAGTGTTTTGACCCACTTTATGCTAAAAAGCAACTTCTTTATCCCTTTTTTTTCAGAAATGTTTAATAAAATTTGTTGTTTCTTAAAACCGCTGTTGTTGTTTTCTTTATACTCTAAAAGGTTTCTTATTGCTTTATTTTCCTGTTGTCTTATAAAGTTGTTATTATAGCCATCATATGGTTGTTGTTTTTATTATTTTTCAAAGAATTCATTACAAAACTAAATTAAAGTTTTTTTGGTTTGTTTTTCAGAGAATTTCAGACGAAATATACTAACGCTATACATATATAGCAAATATTTATTGTTAAGAGAAAATAATCCTTTTTGTATCCTTTATTGAAACGATGGCATTTAACTATATTTGTAAACAACATATAAAATTGAAACAAGTACACTGAAAATAAGCCATAATTAACTTTACAAATATATCGTTATATTTACGAAAATTTCATGTATAATAAGAAATATTATGTAAACATTTCCTTGTCTAATATTACGAAAGTATGAAAATCTTTTGTAAAATCTTTTTTTCGTATACATATATGTATTTATAATTTTGTAGGAGACAATTATAGATCTCTTAAAGATTTGTTACATTTTAAACAATAAACTGATTTATGCCTACATAATACTGTAGCGACTTAAACAACATTTTATGCAAAGTATTTCCAAAACAAAAATTATAATTTATTGCTACAGAAATCGGTAGTATCATAAAAATAAAAGAAAAAACTCATCAGAAAGAACAAAAAAAGTTTACAACTTAAAGAGAATGTGAAGCACAGTGGCTCACTAAATATACCACTTTATAAAAATTTAATAAATACCACACTATATTTTAAAAGCTTTATTCCCATAAAGATTATTTTTTGATCAAATAAGTATGATTATTTTTTCTACTTTAATCTATAAACTATAATTTATTATCTACTACTGTAATTTTTATAGTTTAACTATTTATATAAAACATACTTATTTTATATACCCAGCAAAAACACAGTAATGATTTGTAATTACTCAACAACTTACCTTTGACTTCTATATAACGTCTGTATTACTTAGAAGCTGTCCAGAAATCACTTACAAATAATATATTATGTAAGTACTTACTTTTTAACATATTGTTTTAGAAATTATTTTGTAACGCAAATGAAAAAATAAATTGTGTTATTTAAGCATTTTAACCCTTTCCGTTCAATGTAAGTTTTTGCTGGGCATGTATAAGTAATATACTTTCGATATCTCCAGTAATTAATCACCTTTTTAAAAAAATGTGTCACTGGAAATAATTGCTAAAAATAAATACGAGTTAAGTGTATTGCTGTCTTTCCTAATTTTCTATGTCTATGTTCTACATCACTTTTGGCGTGTGTATGAGACAAACCCTGGGCCCAAATTATGGCATACGATATCGATCGAAATCTTAATAGAATCAAAATGGAGATTTTTATATTCGCAGAAAGAGAATATCGGTTAAAAGACTGATGCACGGTAAAGTCTTCAATTCGGTGCTGTTGCTAAGACAACAGATACTTCAGAGGAGTGACTTTGACACTAAGCGTTGGAAATGAGTTGGTGTCAAGTGTATATGATAAGGATGGCTGTAGGGTATACGAAAATTACCTATCCAGTGTTTATGTCGGATGTTGTTTTCTATGAGTGTTCCGAATAAATGAGAAGAGTGCTGGGTTGAATGGTGATGGATGAAAGATATCTATTACTAGTGATACCATTGAATTTTCCTTCCTTGTCTAGGTATGTTCAGGGTTTAATCTGTTCATAATAGATTTACCACAGTGTGTTCTCTGTGAGTAAGAACAAGTGCTCGGCTTATTTGATGGATTCGTGTTTCGACTAATGACATAACAGATTTCGCAAACAAAGGACATGAATCCTATAGAAAAGTCTCTAGGTTACCCCCCAGGGGCATGTCACCTTGGTGAAATCTCCATCTTGGTGTTATTGCAATATCCAGAGGAAAAGAGGTGCTACCAATACCTCTAGTCTGCCGGGACTATAAACTGGTGATGATCATGCGGTCGAACTAGAGCACCATATATTCATGCACTACGGGTGGCAAGTTGACCGCAGGACTTACCCTAGCTGGTCAGTTAGTTGAGGTTCCTTCGGGATCCACGTAGTGGCTGTGTTTTTAACTCACATTCGCGGGGAAATAATATTGGTTTAAGGACTGATATATCCTCTAGACAAGGTCTAGAATATAAATAAATACCAACTAAATCAGATATTTGTCTTGAATTTAAGTCCAACCAATATTTTCCAATTAAAATCCCATTGTGTTTACTCCACTATATAGATCATTTGAATACTACTACTTTCTCATGCAATTTGTTTTCCACTTCCTAACTAAAACAAAGGAAATTATTGGTGAAAACACATCAAAAACCAATCATCCATGCATATGACCATGAATAATATAGGTTTTTTCTTCCGGAAAAAACAGCTTGAAATGTTTACAACTAAAAAATAATGAACACATATGAGGGTGCAGCAGGAATCTTTCCAGGTTTATGTGCCAAAAGTAATACGAAATAAACTGAAACATTTTATTATGCCAATATACAATACAATCAGATCACAATGCATTGAAATGCAATAATAAGATTTAATTAAATATGGATTTCAGAACATAAAAGTCTCGTTAAAACAAAGAAGAGAAAAGTAATAAAAATCGAAATCAAATAAACTGAAAAGAACAGAGTTCTGAACTAAAAACAAGAAAACATAAAAATGTTGTAAAAATCACATCATAAAAACAGCAAGTGTCCTACATATTTGGTATTCTTTTAGCTTTCAGATTATTTTCTTTTAAGGTAAAGAAAATCTCTTTTAAGGAATGCATATAAAATGATGTTGTTAAGATAAAAACAAATTAGTGTAATTTTAAACTCTTTAGGAAAATGTTAGTTAACATTAAATTTGTATTTACTGGTTTGGCAATGCTGCTGGTGAATGCCCAGTGTTCCATTGTGAGGAAGATTGAAGATAAGGAGTTAAAAGATCCGGAACGCTCTAAGAGGGAATCAATATTTTCTTCTCCTTATTATGATGTCATGACTCACCAAGCTGTACAGCCTGCACCTGGAACACAACAGCCTCCTCAACAGCAACAGGGCTTACCCATATTGGGTGCTTTAGTTAGCAATGTACCGGGTTTGAATGGTTTAAGCTCAACTTTAACTACTTTAGTACCTTTGGGTAATCTTGGTGGTTTGGGAGGTTTGGGTAATTTGGGTGGCTTGGGCAATTTGGGCGGCTTGAATAATTTAGGTCTGGGTAATTTAGGTAATTTGGGAGGTTTAGGTGGTCCCGGTGGCTTGGGTAATTTAGGAGGTTTGGGTGGTTTAGGTGGTCCTGGTGGCTTGGGTGGTTTACCCGGCTTAGGTGGACTTTTCCCGGGTCTTAATCGTTGTCCTCTAACGCAAACTTTAAATTGTCGTTGTGAAAATATCATACCCTTACCTGTTGCACCCCCCACCAGCAGCTGCACGATCAAATGGTTTGGAGATTTTACAACAAAATATGAAATTAAATTTAAATGGAGATAAAGAAATAAGGTAAGAAAAAAACTATCAATAATGGAGTTAGAAATCAGGCTTGGGGGTAATGACTACATTTTCAATTAAAATTACATTTGAAGTAATTGTAATTGGAGCATAACCAATTACAATTACCTGTAATTAAAGTTTTGCCAATTACAATTATTTGTAATTGAAGTTTTGACAATTACAATTACTTGTAAGGGTAATTGAAGTTTTGTCAATTACAATTACTTGTAATTGTGAATTTTGTTTCTTATAATTATATGTAATTTGTAGTTAGTAATATCTTTATTATGATTACAAGTAATTTTGATTTTTAATTGATTATCAATTACACATTACAAGTAATTGTAATTGAAAAAACTTCAACTACAATTACAACTAATTGAAATTGGCAATTGCTCAATTACACATTACAAGTAATTGTAATTGACCATGTAATGAATTACTTTGTGTAATCATTACCCCCTATGCCTGTTAGAAATTTAAGCATTTTCCTAAAAAAAAGTACTTTTTTTAATTAAAAATTACTTTTCAAATTTTTATCTGTTATTTAGTCTACAGGCTATTGACTAGATTACATACTAGCTAGTTTATAGTTCAGTCTATAAACTCATCGTCACAAAAAAATAATCCATGATTAATTTTACGAAAAAAAAACATAACTACTTGTTTCGTAATATATACGAAAATTTCGTATATAATACGAAATATGATTTAATCAATCAATTTAATTATTTTCCGCATAATGGCTAGTGCATAGGCTTCTATTCAATGATTTATAACTTCTTGACAATTTATATTTATAGTTCAAACTTTAACATTTATATTCATTCTGTCTTTTAGTGCTCGCTTAAGTAATGGCATCTTACTCTATCAACGTTCCGGCATTGAAAAACTTGCCAACAATCAAAACTCTAAAGTTATACAAGGATATTATACGCTAAAGCTGGAGGATAAGAAATACTTAACCATTTATTATACCATTAATGACTTGGACTATACAGTCAAAGGTAAGTGCAGTAAAATACAATCAACTCAATTTAATT